GGCCACACGTTGCACATGGGTGAGCATCACTCTTGCCACCCCAACCTGAACCCAAACTTTTAAAAGCCTGAATTTTGCCTGAAACTCTCAAACTGAAGAAGTCTCTTGGAGGAGAGACGAAACGTTTCATTAGAGAAGAACCCGTCCAGAAGACCTACACAATTTTTTTCTTTTTGATTTTTTACCTGGATTACTGAGATGCATCAGGATACCTTTAGCTTATTTTTATGCTAATTTGAGCTTTTTTAGGCTATTTCAGCTTTAGATCTTTTTTCTACTTTTTGTGCTTTTTGTGCTAATTTGTGCTATTTATGCCTTTTTACAGATGTTTTCTGCTATTTTCAGCTGCTTTAGCTTTTAGTTTTTAGCTGTTTTCTGCTATTTAAACTTTATTTTTGCTCCGTTTTTACTGTTTTTCTGTAAAGTTAGGCTTTTTTTGCTTCTTTCAGCTTTGCAAGTTGAACTCACATGAACATGTTTGCTATGAAATATTTTCAGCTCAATTTCAGCTGCTTTCAGCTTAAGTTTTCAGCAGGAAGCATTCACATTAGCATTTTCGCAGGAAGTGCAATTTCTGTAGTTTATTATGAGTTTATGTGTTTGTTTGCATCTTTCTGTAATTTTTATAATCGTAACTGAAGCTATCAGCTGCAGTTATCCCGATGTAAAATCATTCCTAGAAGCATGTGAACAGATACTCAGTCTGCGTCCAGGCTTTGTGTTGTTGGCAGTATCAGTCGTTTAAAGCTTACCTCTGGCCAAGTTAAGCCCAGAGGAGGTCGTCATGGCTGAGTTCATCCACTCTGTGCTTTTGGAAACACTTAAACTTTCCCACAGTTTCATTATCCTTTACCCCTACAACACTGTGAATGACTTAGATACGCTCCTAATGCTCATAGTTTTGCTCTCATGCATCATGATCTGATCGTTTAACGCAGCAAACTGTTCCATAAAACAAGGTTTATTTGAAATTTTACACAGATACACGTGCTGATAACATTTTAATAAAAAAGGGAGTGAATGAGGATTAATTGAAAGCAGGTTTGTTGCAGCACATGTTGCCAAGTACTCATTACTCCCAACTGTTGTTTCAGGAGGTACTACCAAGAGACTATTCCTGGCAGCTCAATAAAAACTTGTATAAGCCTCAGAAAAGCTTTACCAGAACTAAAAGAAGCAGAGCTCTGTTCCCAAACATGATGAACACATTACAAGCTACCAATTAAATATCAGTCCCTCTGAAAGCTAAATAAAAAGCTGCGGAGCCCTTAAGTTTTGTAAATGTTTATTTCATTTTATTACTTTTACACAATATATAATCATTCTTCTCGCTAGACTAATGAAAAACGGTGATAACAAGCATATATCACATTCCAGATGCTGGCCTGTTTATTCAAAGTAAATACAAGAAATACAAAAAAAGATTGGTTTTATGTTTATGTAGTGTCATTTTTATGGTATGACCTGACAGAAGGAGAAATGTTGTATTTTATATGTTTACGTGTCAGTAAAATTCTCCTTATGAGCTTATAAATTCTCAAATTCACAGTCAAAGTCTGTCATTCTGCACAAGATGTACTTCCACTGGCGATCTCTGAAATAAAAGCAAAAAAAAATACATTTTACACTTTTTTAATATCTTATTTTGTCCAGTTATTGCTTGATTTGATGTTAAGAACTGTTCCTGCTGAGCTCAAATATTTTTGTCATTTTACATCAGTAGTTTTGAAAAAAAAAAAAGATTTTAACAAACCTCAGGACTCCGCTGAAAGTAGTCTGGGCTCCTCGGATAAAGTAGCCGTAACTCRGGACCACCATCTCCCCCTCTTCTCTGTAGTATTCAGGAACTTCAGTGGTCTTCCTGCAGAAAGCAGGAAATGATGAACATTTTGTAAAGTTAAAGGAAAAAAAAAGGAAAAAAAATTGTGTAGGTCCTCTGGACGGGTTCTTCTCTAATGAAACGTTTCGTCTCTCCTCCAAGAGACTTCTTCAGTCTGAGAGTTTCAGGCAAAATTCAGGCTTTTAAGCCCGCGCGCCCGCAGCACTCCTGTGCACTGTCCCTCAGAGAACGCGCTGCACGCTCAGACAGGAGGAGAGCTGCTGAAGCAGCTCCTCTGTCTTCTCTCATC